GGAGAAATGCCAGGAGAACAGAACCCTGAAAATGTCGGGAGAAAAAAAAAAACAAAAAAAGAAGAACAAAAAATTCAGGTTTCAGATGTAACAAGGAAGATTCGTGAAGGAAACGAGTGAGGGGGGCCAGTGGGTGGAGAGAACACGGTACCTGCGTCATCTTCTCTCTGTTGGCCTTGGGGTTCAGGGGAGCCTCTGTGAGCAGCACCGGGTGCTCCTCGGGGGCCACACGCAGCTCGTTGTAGAAGGTGTGGTGCCAGATCTTCTCCATGTCATCCCAGTTGGTGACGATGCCGTGCTCGATCGGGTACTTGAGGGTCAGGATGCCCCTCTTGCTCTGCGCCTCGTCCCCCACGTAGCTGTCCTTCTGCCCCATGCCCACCATGACACCCTGCGGAACCCAACGGGTGAGTCAGCGCCGCCCCCGCCGCGCCCCGGCCCGGCCCAGCCCGCGGCCCCCGCCCGCCTCACCTGGTGCCGGGGGCGGCCGACGATCGACGGGAACACGGCGCGGGGAGCGTCGTCCCCGGCGAACCCGGCCTTGCACATGCCGGAGCCATTGTCGATGACGAGGGCGGCGATTTCCTCTTCCATGGCGGAGGCTGCGGCGGGAGGAAGGGAAGGGCCGGGTCAGCGCCCGCCGCGGCCCCGGGAGGAGCCGCTGGCGCCGGGCCATGCCCGGCCCCCCCCCGCTACGGCGCCCCAATGGTTTCTTCCATTTGAATAGCCCGTTTGAATCTCCCGCGCGCTGACGTCACCCACCGCCTCCACCAATCGCGACGCAGCCCCCCATACACCCCCACCGGCCTGTACCCACGGCCGGCACCATCCCAACGCGTCGCGGGGATTTGGGGGGGGGAGGGGGCGCAAGGGGAGAGGACACGCGCTACTCGGCCGCAGCCCGCGGCGGGGCCGAGTGGAACCGACCGTGGTAAAAACCGCCCACTCCGGCCCGCGGGGAATGCGGGGAAGGGGGCGGCTGGGGCGCGGTGCGGGGCCTCGCGGTACCTGCTGCGCGGGGATCGCTTCTGTGGGCGCTGCGGTGACGGTGCCGCCTAGTCCGCTGCCGCCGGCTGAGTGAGACCGCACGGCTGCCAGCCCCGCGCTTTTATACCCGGGGGACGAGAGCCCCGCCTCCTCGGCCGAGAACATCGCCATATATGGAGATCTTTCAGAAACAGGCGCTCTCATTGGCTGGCGCGGCCCAGGCCACGTGGGGCGGCTGCCGGGGTGGCTCCGCCCCTCGGCACCCCGGAACCTGCATGGGGCGGGGGGGTGCGGGGGGGGCGACCCCCGGCTCCGGCGGACCCCCCATCCCGGCGGGACCACCCACCTGCACCCCCACCCCGGGCACCGGACACCCCATTCATGGCACCTGCACCCCCATCTGGCACTGGCACCCTCCTTTCCCACCTGCGCCCCCACCCGTGGGGCCTGCACACCTCACCCGTGACACCCACCCGGGACCCCCCAGCCATGGCCCCCCACACACAGCACCGGGCCCGGGACCCCCCGTGCAGCCCTGCTGTGCCCTGCACCCCCAGGTGACACTGTGTGTCCCAGCGGTGACACCTCTCCCGGGTACGGCACCCCCAGCCCCAGCTGTGCAGCCCCCGCCCCCACGGCCACCGCACACCTGAGGTGACATCCCAGTGACCCCAGGGACACCCCCCCGGAGCCACCGCAGCCCCACTGCAGGGGCTCCCCATGCCCGAGCCCCTTTTCCCCGGGGGTGGCCCGGGCCCTGTGCCCCCTGCCATGGGGGGACTCGGCCATGGGTGCCACCTGTGCAGTGCCAGCCAGGTGTGTGCCCGCGGTCCTGGGCGGTCAGGTAGCCACACCCCATGTCAGGTAGCCATGAGCTGTGTCAGGTGCCACATATGACATCAGGTAGCCGTGTACCCTCTCAGCTAGCCATGTACCATCTCAGGTAGGCACAGCTGTGCCAGAGGTCCGGGCACCACACCAGGCACCCTGTGCCACCGAGCAGCCATGTACCATGCAGCGATTCAAGTAGCCACACCCCGCGTCAGGTAGCCACACCCCGTGTCAAGCAGCCATGTCATGTCAGATCGCCAATGTCCCATGTCACATTAGCCACGGGCCAGCCCAAGTAGCCACCTAGGATGCCAGGTACCTTGCCAGGCAGCCACACGCTGTTCCAGAGGCCCACGCACAGCCACCCACGCCAGCTCCTGGTGCCACTCAGGCCCACGGCAGTGGTGGCCGCTGGCGTCGCCCTCCCCACGTCCCACGGGATTCCCACCCCCGGCCAGCCCTTCCCAGCAGCTCCCTGTGCCACCGGGATGGGTGACACGGCGACTGTCGGGGTACAGATACTGCAGCGACTCGGGATGGTCTCGGGGGCTGACAAGGGTCCTGGAGGGTCCCGGCACAGCTCCAGGGGTCTCGTGTCCCCGAGCCGGGCCGTGGTGGCACATGGAGGGCCCCGGGGGGTCTGGCTCGGGGGGGCTGCGCAGGTGACAGCCGCATCCCGCGGGTCCCCGGGGAACACCCCGGCCGCACCCCCCGTCCGGACACAGCACCGGGGCCGCCCCCAGCCGTGACTCAGGGAGGGCAGGGAGGGGCTGGGGCGGGAGGAAGAGGCGAAGGAGGAGGAAGAGGAGGAGGAAGGCACCACCCCCGGCACGCCCCGCCGCCCGGTGTCCGTCCGTCCGTCCGTCCCCGCAGCCCGTGCGCAGGGGCGGAGTGATGGGATGGCGATGGGCAGGTCCCACCTCGCAGGTCCCCGGTATCCCCCACCGGACCCCCGAACCCCTGTCCTGGCACCCCCGGGCTGCTGGGGCACGGTTGAGCCCCCCCACCCCTCTGCCAGCGCCCTGCCAGGGATTGGGGCCCCCGGGTAGCAACAGCCCCGTACCCCTCCCTGGATGGAAACCAGCAGGGGCTCCCCCCATCAGCGCCCCGACACCCTCCTGACCCGACCACAATCCCCACCCCAAGACCCTGCCTGACCCCCCGGGTGCGTGGGGTACAGCTGAACCCCCCTCTTCCCCTCCGCCAGCCGCCCCCCCCAAGTGCTATGGGTTGGGGACCCCCCGGCAGCCCAGCACCCCCATTTTCCTCCTGGAAATCGGGGGAACACCCACCGTAGGGGTCACCCACCCCAGCCCCCTGCGCTGCCCCGGCCGGAGGGGTCTCAGCAGCCCTCAGAGGGGAGGGGTCTGGCTGTCCCCAGGCCGGGGGGACTCAGGGACACGCTGTGCCCGTGGGACAGCGCCCAAGGCCCCCCCGAGAGGAACCTGAGCCCGCCGGGGGGGCGGGGGGGCCGGGATGTATAAATGCCGCTCCCGGCTGCGCTGCCGGGCAGGTGCCGGCGGGCACCCACCGAGAGCCACGCGGGCTCCCCCGGGCCCCCCAGGACCCTGACCCACTTATTCCCCCCGCGCCGTGGCCCGAAAGCCGAGCCGGCTCCGTTTCGGGGGTCAGTTACAGCGGCCGGGCGCTCGCGGCTCGGGTGTCGCGGCTCGGGGGGCCTCTGCACCCCCCGGCGCGGGCAGCGCCAGCCCGGCATGAAAAAGTCATGAGCAACCAAAGCTGGGGCTGTTTGCGGGAACAATAACCGGGCACCGGGCTGACACCGGAGCCGCAGGGCCGGGGGGACGGCGGCGGGAGCCGGCGCGGCATCGCCACGGCACGGCCAGACCCCGGCACGGGGGGTCGGGGCACTTCGGGGGGCCCGGGTGGTGACAGAGCCCGTCCCCGCCTGTCCCCATGGAGCGTGGCCGAGGCCGGGGGTCCCAGCAGGGTTGGGGTCGGAGTGGGGACTGTCCCCTACACCGCTGTCCCCTCCTGCCCCCCACGCCCCCATCCTCTCCTGTCCCCCTCCAAGGGGCCGGACCCTCATCTCTGCCATGAGCCGCAGGCGGGCTCAGCCCCGAAGGAGCCCACGCCCTGGGGGTTGGCTCCGGGGGCTCGGGGGCGTCCGTGACCCCGATCCCCAGCTGCAGGAAGGATTTGGGGCCACAGGACAGATGGAGGCCAAGGGCCCCAAAGCAGGATAAAAGGTTTACGCTAATCAAAATGCCTGGCTAATTGGAAAAGGCGCTTAGGGGCTGGCCGGGAGGCGGCGCGGCTGGAGGTGACCCGCTGCTGAATCAGAGGGGCCGGTAACCTTAACCCGCCGGGATCGGAACGGATACGCCGGCCCGGATCGGGTTCCCACCCAAGTTTTCCACCCGCGGCTCCGCCACAGCAGGACAGGGCCGCGGCGAGGGACGGTGGCGTGGCCGGGGGCTGCCGCGGTGCCCCCTCGCCCGGGCGCCCCCGGTGCCCATCGCAACCCGGCCGGTCTCTAATCGCACCTGCGGGTAATCGAACGGGTCGCAGCCCCCCGGGGCCCCGTCCCACTCCGTGGGTCCGGGGCAGCTCAGCCGCCCCTGCCGCGGGCGCTCCGTCCGGCCCCGCCGCGACGCCCGGGCTCGGCAGCGCCGGGGAGCCCCCGCCGGCCCCCGGGGGCCGCCCCGCCTCGGCGGAAGATGCCAACGAATGGGATCCACCAGGTGCTGAAGATCCAGTTCGGGTTGATCAACTGCGAGAGCCGGTACCTGACGGCCGAGAGCTTCGGCTACAAGGTGAACGCCTCGGCGCCCAGCCTCAAGCGCAAGCAGATCTGGACGCTGGAGCAGGATGAAGCCGACAGCTCCATCGTCTTCCTCAAGAGCCATCTGGGCCGGTACCTGGGCGCCGACAAGGACGGCAAGGTGCGCTGCGAGGCGGAGCAGCCGGGCCGGGACGAAGGCTTCAGCATCATCACGCAGTCGGACGGGCGCTGGGCGCTGCAGTCGGCCCCGCACCGGCGCTTCTTCGGCGGCCGCGAGGACCGGCTGTCCTGCTTCGCCCCCAGCGTGACCGAGGGGGAGCTCTGGACCGTGCACCTGGCCATGCACCCCCAGGCCAACCTGCTGAGCGTCAGCCGCCGCCGCTACGCCCACCTGAGCGCCCACGAGGACGAGATCGCCACCGACAGCAACCTGCCCTGGGGGGTGGACGCGCTCATCACGCTCTGCTTCCAGGACAAGAAGTACAGCCTGCGCACGGCCGACGAGCGCTACCTGCGCTGCGATGGCACCTTGGTGCCCGAGCCCGGCGCTGGCACCGGCTACACCCTCGAGTTCAAGGCCGGCAAGTTGGCGTTCAAGGACTGCGACGGGAAGTACCTGGCGCCCACCGGACCCACCGGCACCCTCAAATCCGGCCGCAGCTCCAAGCCGGGCAAAGATGAACTCTTTGACCTGGAGGAGAGTCACCCCCAGGTGGTGTTCACGGCGGCCAATGGCAGATATGTCTCCATCCGGCAGGGTAAGAGCTCCCCACACCCCCCCCTGCCCGCTCTCTGCCCACCCAGGGACCTCCACATCTCCGTGGGAGCACCCCTGGGACCCTCACCCCGGGGGAGACCCCACAGCAGTAACCCCACAGCGCTGTGCCTGCCTGGGGGGTTCCTACAGCCACATTCTGGGGACGTGGGGGTCCTGTCTGCCTAGGGGGGGCTGAGGTCAGTGAGGATGGAGTGGGAGCTGCTGGGGGGTGGGCAGGGCTGGGGGGAAAGCGTGGGTGTGTGTGTACATACGTGTGTGCATGTGCAGGGCTCTGTGGGCGTGCACAGGGCTGTGTGTGTGAACACGTGCAGGGCTGTGGGTGTGCACAGGTGTGTACGTGCACACACACACACAGGTGTGCCATGCTCCGTGCTGCATCCACAGGCTCACACATGTGCCTGTGCACGCCACACACGATGCCCTGTGTGCACACACGTGTGTAGAGCCAGCGGTCGTGACCACAGGTGAGCAGAACCCCTTGTTTGAGACCCAAGGGACCCCACTCGCCCCCAGGTGCCCCCCAGGGACGGTGCCACCCCAGTGCCAAGCAGCTTAGTGCCGGGTGACGAGGGGGACCAGCTATAAATAGGGGTTTGTGACCAGATGGACACGGCGGTGACAAGCTGATTAACCAGCCCAATTAGCACAATTGTTCGCAGGAGGATTTGGGGGGAGGGCGAGGGCGGCCATGGGGCAGCAGTGGTGATGGTTGGGGTGGGACAATGGCTGGAATGGGACTGGTCCTGATGGCCAGAGCAGGATCGCTGCCAATGGCCACAGTGGGATCAGTGACTGGGGACAGAGTGGTTTTGGTGACAGGAGCCAACAGAGTGGAACCGATACCCATGGCTGGAATAGGATGGGTGCCAATGGCTGGAATGGGACAATGACAATGCGCTGGGCTGGAACTGGTCCTGATGGCCTGAGTGGGACTGGTGACAACGGCTCAATGGGATTGGTGACAATGGCCAGAGCTGGGTCACTCATGATGACTGGAGTAGGACTGATGCCAACTAGTGCCAAAGTGGGATCGGTGATGATGGCCAGACTGAGGCTGCTGCCCAGGGCCAGGCCAGGACCAGTGCCAGTTGCTGGACCAGGAGTGGCGCTGATGGCTGGAGCGCGAGCAGTGCTCATCCAGAGCAGGACCAGCACCAACATCCACTCTCCCTCCAGGTGTGAATGTCTCGGCAAACCAGGACGAGGAGCTGAACCACGAGACCTTCCAGCTGCAGATCGACCGCGACACCAACAAGTGTAGCCTCCACACCAACACTGGCAGCTACTGGACCCTGGTGGCCCACGGGGGCATCCAGGCCGTGGCCACAGAGATGTGAGTGAGGCTGCGGTGTGGGCTGGAGAGGTGCTTTGGGGGGACACAAGCGCCCCCAATTCACGCTGTCCCTCTGTCACCAGTGCTGCCAACACCATGTTTGACATTGAGTGGCGCGGGCGGCGCGTGGCCCTGCGCGCCAGCAACGGCCGCTACGTCTGCACCAAGAGGAACGGGCAGCTGGCAGCCGTCAGCGACACCGTGGGTGAGTGCTGGGGGGGACAGGGGGGACGGGGGGTGCCCCAGGGTGCTGAGGCCTGGGTGCTGTGCAGGGGAGGACGAGGAGTTCACTCTGAAGCTGATCAACCGCCCGATGCTGGTGCTGCGGGGGGAGCACGGCTTTGTCTGCTACCACCGGGGCTCCAACCTGCTCGACTCCAACCGCTCCGTCTACGACGTCTTCCACATCAGCTTCAGCGACGGCGCCTACCAGATCCAAGGTGGGCGAGGGGAGCTGTGGGGTGGGGTGGCCCTGGGGGTCCGTCCGGCCTGCACTGACACCCCCATGGGCTCCCTGCAGGCCAGGGGGGCAAGTACTGGTACGTGGCGAGCAGCGGGTCGGTGTGCAGCGACGGGGACCTGTCCGAGGATTTCTTCTTCGAGTTCCGGGAGCGGGGCCGCGTGGCCATCAAAGGGAAGAACGGGCGGTACCTGCGCGGGGACCCTGCGGGGACGCTGCGCGCCGACAGCGAGTCCGTGCTGCGGGCCACGCTCTGGGAGTACTGACCCCCGGAGCCCCCTGCGGCCACCTCCCCCCACAGGCACCCGCCTGACCCTGGCAAAGTGGGGTGGTGGCAGCGGTGGCACCGTCCGTGGCAGCTGTGCCCCCGCAACTCATGGCATTAAAGTCACCTGGATCGCACCGGGGCACCACCGTGTCCTCCTTCGCATCGAGATCCAGCCCTGTTTCCCTCCCAGGAGCGCACAGACTCCGTGGAAGGCTGATCCGGGGGCCGGTGGGATGCAGGGACCCCCAGGGGTGCCGCACGGGATCCGGGGGTCAGCAAAGCAAAGCCACTGCAGGCAGGAGCCCGAGGGGGTTACTCCTCTGCCAGGCTGGGGGAGCAGGGGGGTAGCCCGAGAGCTGCCAGGACCCTCGGGGAGGATGGAAAGGAACAGAGCCAGGCACGGGGTGAGCAACAGGATCGTTTTCATGGCAGACGACAGAGTTACAGACAGTGGAGAGGTGCGGGAGGGGCCGGGGCCGGACCACGCCGCACCAGCATGGAGATACGAGATCATTTATAGAAACAACGGGGGAGCGGAGACCCCCTCCCCTGCCCAGCAGAAAACGGGGCTCCCCCGGGCACAGCACCCTGTTTGTCCTGACCCTGAAGGCGGCTCGGGGGGCTCAGCCCGCGGCCGGCCCGGCTCGGCACGGCCACTACACTACCACGGATCCACAAGACAGCGCGGCCCCGGGGGGCTGCCCCGGCCTGGCCGGGCTGGGGGGCGGCGGGACAGGGCTGGGCCAGCCCAGGAGCCCCCGCTCCGCCACCGGAGCCCCGAGACGCCCCCGGTGCTGCCGACAACACAACCACGAAACACGTACAGACACACCCCCCACCCAGACCGCCGCCGGCCCCGCTCCTGCTCTGGTGGGGGGGGGTGAGGTGGGGGGCTCTGCCGTGGGCCCCCACCCCGGCCGGCGGGGTTTGGGGCGGGCTGGCCGCCCCCCGCTCACAGCAGGACCAGGCTGGGGTTCCGCAGCTGCCGGTAGATGTTCAGGAGCTTCTCGGCCGTGGCAGAGCCCTCAGCCCCCTCCTCGCCCGGGGGCGGCTGGTCCCGGAGGGTCTGCGCCTCCTTCAGCAGCATCTGCGGGAGGGGGGCAGGGGTGAGGGACGGGCTGGTGCTGGGGTCCCCACGGGGAGGGGATCGGGGGGCTCACCTCGTGGTTGGCCTGGATCTGACGCAGGTACTGCATGCGGAGGTCGGGGGGTCCCGAGCCCTGCGCCGCCTGCTCCAGCACCAGCGCCTGCGCAAGGGAGGGAGGGAGGGTGCTGGGGGAGCTGGCAGCAACCAGCCCCAGGGACCCCAGCCCAGGGACCCCAGCCCCAGGGACCCCCAGCTCTAGGAGTCCCAGCCTCAGTAGCCACAGCTCCAGCAGCCCCCAGATCCTGGAAGCCCAAGCCTTGGGAATTCCCAATCTCAGGGAGCCTGAGCCCTGGGAAGCCCCAGTCTCAGGGCAGCCCAAGCCCCAAACCTGGGACCCCCAGGTCTGGGGACCCCCAGCCCCAGTGGTGCTGCTCTGTCACAGCATGGTGCCACAGAAACGTCCCCCACTGCACACCAGGCTCCATTGCAGGGAGCTTAGGGTCACTTGGTGTGCCCCTGCCCCAGGGGGGTACCTGTATGCGCCGGATCACGGCGTGGTGTGTCCTGCACATGTGGGCCAGGGATGGGCTCTCCATCAGGATCTCCACAGCCTGGATGGGACCCGCAGGGCTCAGGTCATTCATGGCCACCTGGACAGTGAGAGCAGTGTCACCATCTCTGGCAGCAGGGGGCCAGAACCCCTCCCCACAGGCACCAGGTTCCCCAGAAGGCTCCACACACCCCCAAACCCTCCCACCCTCCCAGGAGCAGTTGCCCCCAGCCCAGTGCTACCAGGTGAGCCCTGGCAGAATTAACACTGTCACTCATCACCCGGGGGACATCTGAGCTCTCAGGTGCAAATCCACCTGTGCCAGGTACATGGGGGTCCCTCAGGTGGGGTCAGGCAGGACAGTGGGCAGAAATCCCTGTTTTCCCTGTGCCTTTAGAGGGGAATTTTGCCTGGAGTAGATTTACAACCCAAATCCAAGTGCATTTTCTAGAACCAAAGTAATGGGAACATGTGGAGAGGGAGGGAAATGACCACAGCCTTTGGGAAACCCAGGACTGGGAATGCTGCTAAGCCCAGAGGAGAGGGTCAGAATGGCGTGGCCATGCACCCACTCATCCCCCTGGCTCCAGGAAGGAGCTGGGTTTTTGGGACAGGGAGCTTCCCTGCAGGCTGACCCATTCCTTGGCTCAAGGCTAACCCATTCCTTGCCTCTCGGACGAGCAGCTGGACGTGGCCACCGTCAGGTGCCATGCCACACACCGATGCCACCTCCGTGCTGCTCAGCGCCTCGGCCCCGGGGTTCTCAGCCAGCAGCCAGCGCAGGGTGGCACAGCAAACTGGGACATCTGGGGACCAAAGGACAGAGCAGAGATGTGACACTGCTGACAGTGTGTGCCCGAGGCAGCCCCAGATGGGGCAGAGGTAGCACGGGCTGGACCCCCCCACACTGGGACACGCTGAGCTTAGCCATGCCACTGCCACATGTGCCGAGGCTGTGGTGGGGCAGTGGGGTCACACAACCTCTGTACCCAAGGGAGGGGCTGTGACAGTGACACCCTGCCAGCACCCCTGCCCCAGGAGCCTCTCTGTCACTCCTAGGATCCTCCTCTCCAGGGACCCACCTGTTTCCGAGGTTTTGAGAGCACTTTTCAGCAGCTCCGAGGACACTCGGATGGACGCTGCCGAGGGGGGCAGGTTCTCCTCTCCTGCGGTTTTCCCCTCCTTGGGTTCAGTCTGTTCCTGGGACACTTTGAGGAAGGTCTCCACAGGGTCTGAGGGGGCAGGGGGGGCGTTGGGCCCGGGGGGGCTGCTCCCGAAACGGAGGCACTGGAGCATGTCAATGGTGCATTGGCTGAGGGGCAGGCAGATCCCCTCTCTGTCCGGGGACAGCAGGGGCGAGTCGTCGGGCAGGAAGTCATCCAGGTCCTCGGAGGAGTCGGAGCCACTGCCCAAAATATCCCGTAAACTGTAGTAGAGGGCACAGGAGATGGTCAGAGGCAGGTCCAGCTTGGTGTCCGCAGCGGGGCCGAGGGGCAGCGTCAGCTCCCGCTTGTTCCCAGGGAGCAGCTGGTCAATGGGGAAGGTGAAGGTGGTGGCCGAATCCATGGATTCCTCCTCTAAGGCACAGGGGCTGGTCAGGAGCTGGACACAGAGGGTCCAGCCCTCCTCCAGGCTGTACTCGCTGCAGTTTTCCAGCAAGCAGGAGATGGTGATGGTGTCCTGGAGCAGGAGGCAGCTCCAGTTGGCAGTGACTGTGCAGGCGATGGGCTTGTGGCCCTCGTGGCTGGAGAGCAGCGCCGCGCTCACGTTCATCACCTGGTTCAGGCTGGCCAGGGCTCGGTTCCTCTGGTCCACGGCCTTCTTCAGGAAGGACACTCTGCAAGGACAATGTGACAGGGATGAAACAATGGGAGGGACGCCAGCATGCTGCCAAGCTGAGTTGCTCCTGGCATGATTCCACCACAGGAAACCCCCAGCTTCTCTGCCACAGATCCATGTTCCCATCAGAGCTGACCCTGTGGAGTGGCTCTGGACAGCCAGACCTCAGGAATTCCCCTGTGGATGGAGGGGGGGGCTCACCCACAGCCCCTCCCCACACACAGCCAGCCACGGAGGATGGAGGCATGTGCCTGCCCTGCCTGTTACTGCCGGCTTGGCACGCGTGGCAGGCGCCTGGCACCCTGCCTGTGCCACCTTCTGCTGCCATGGCTGCCGCTGCCAGCCCGCCCACAGCGCTGGGGGTGGCTGTGCCATGGGAGGGGGCTGCCCTCAAACACTGGTTTTATATTATCGAGATTGGGGGGGCTTCCCAGCCATGAAAGGTAAATGCTGGAGCAGTTTTCCAAGAGAAAAGCTCGAGGAGAGATGGGGGGGTTCAGCCTGGAGAAAAAACGGCTCCAGAGAGACGTTAGGGCCCCTTGCAGTGCCTAAAGGGGCTCCAAGGGAGCTGGAGAGGTACTTTGGACAAGGGCCTGGAATGAGGGATAAAGAGGAATGGCTTCCCACTGGCAGAGGGCAGGGTTAGATGGGATATTGGGAAGGAATTGTTCTCTCTGAGGGTGGTGAGGCCCTGGCACAGGGCGCCCAGAGAAGCTGTGGCTGCCCCTAGATGCCTGGAAGTGTCCCAGGCCAGGCTGGACAGGGCTTGGAGCAATCTGGGATAGTGGAAGGTGTCCCTGCCCACGGGGGTGGAATGGGATGAGCTTTAAGGTCACTCTTACCCAAACCATTCTGTGATTCCATAATTAATTAGTGGCAATGACCTGCACAAGCCCGAGCTTGGTGCCACCTTTACCTCTCTGAGGTGTCCCCTATCCCCGACAGCAGCTCCTTGATCCTCCGGCCGATCTCAGCAGGGGTCAGCTCCACGTCCGGCTCCTCGGGGCTGCACAGCCCACAGGACACCAGGCGGCCCTTGGCCGACAGGGCCAACAGCTCCGACTCCCCTGCGGGCACAGACGGCGCGGATCAGGGGCCAGGAAGGGAGCAAGGCCTTCCTGGATGGCTGAGGTGGACAGGGAGCAGCATGGCACTGCCTCTCCAAGGCAGTGGGATATGATGGAGACAGACACGGATCACCACAGCACACCCCACTGACACAGACCCCCAAGAGGGGACAGCACCCTCTGCCTGCCTCTCCCCAGGCAAGGCCAGCAGCACCAGTTGTCACACAGGGGAGCTGTTGGTGGCAAAAGCTCTGTGGGCAGCCAGTCCAACACCTCCTTTTTGGAGCAAGCCTGATCTGAGCTGGCCTGGGGCTGTCTCAGGCTGCCCCACGCAGGGAGCCCACAGCTGCCAGGGCTGGCCAGTTCCTGCGATGCCAAGCTGAGGGACTGGGAATGGGCAGGGAAGAGCAGGAATCACAACAGACAGGAACAACTGACAAAACCAAGGAGAGCCAACAAGGATGAAAGATGGAGCCCCACCCAACCCACATGGAGCTGGAGAGAGGAGATGTGAGCTCCCACCCTGCTGCCCCCAGTACCTTCCGAGGCCCGAG